GCGAATTGGTTGTACCGCGATTGATGAATAGGGAACACTGTTTGTAAAACGCGAACTTTTGCATACGAATGTTGGCTATAACACGATTCCATCCTCAACGTTTAAGCATGGCACAGGTTATGCAAAGTTTACAGTTCATGTTTGTTTGTGAAGTGTTTTGAGACACTATTTTTTTTTGCAAATTTAGCTGTTACCCATAAATACTGTAAGAAAAGAATAAGTAAAAAGAATGTTTATGGCGAGGACTATTAACGGTTTACACCAGCGCTCTCTGTTTACATCACGTGATCAGTTGAATCGCGCGGTTTCTGTCAATTACTCTGTGATTTTTGCTAATTTCTCCAATTTTGATAAGTTAGCGATGAATCTGGAAAGACAAGGTAAGAGGAATGTTTCCAAGAAGCGTTCTGGTGATCAAATTGCCGGTGGTGAACGTAAAAGAGGTTTACAGGAACGAACTATGGCGTTGTAGCCAGCGCTATCCTAGCGACCACCCGGGCTGTTATTGTGTGGATTTTTTGGGTGGTGCTCCACCTGTCAAGTCAAGATAATGGCCTCTACCTCTACTGGGGGTCCTACTGGTGCTGGTGGGACAGACTCACCTAAGAGGCCAAATAAGGAAAAGGAGAAGCGGGACTTTCATAAGGGAGTTAAGTTTGCCAAGTACTTGATGCAGGATAAGCAGCGTGTGATTAAGTTACTTGAGGAAGGCCTAAAAACTAGTTTCCAGAAAGCACAATCAGGTCAATAAAGGCAGAATTTGTATCATTTGGAGGTTATAAATGGGAAAATCAGAGGTTGATGTAGAGTGGCCAGTCTATATTGTTATTTTTACCACTAGTTTATGTATTTGTATTTGGCGAATTTGAATTTAGCGCAATTTTTCCAGTCTATATTACTGGCAAAATACAAGATCTTACTGTACTTCAAATAATTTAACTACAGTATAGTTAGCAGGTATACCCTATTGTCCTTGCCTCCTTGTTACTAGCAAATGCATTTCCATTGACAGCATAACTATGAATGCAAATCTGTTACCTGGTTATCAAAATATGTACTCTCCCTTCCCGGTCCTGATGTATTTGGACATGAACACAACATTACATAACAGTCTCGGTTCAGTTGGTGTCTTATTGTAAGCTGCACTTCTTGTTCTTTCTTCTTGCACCTGAATATCACCATGACACCTGCATTATACCACCTGTTCTCTACATAATGTAATGAAACAGGATGAACCGTCATTCCATAATGCAAAACCAATGTCATGAGTAACCTCGCTGATTTATGCACCTTAGATACTATTTCAGGGGATGGGTTGACAAATGTGAATATAGCGTTACTATATTTTCATGAACCGAGGTTACGATGGAATCGCTTCCAACAAAATATGAAACAATATGAGCCGATAATATATTCATTTGCCATATCCAATTACAATAACATTATGATTCACAGCATTTGGATATTATTTCTGCCTCAATTAATGAGGTAATATAATGTATCATCTCACGATTGGTGCCGACAATGTAACATTATCTGATACAGTGCCAGACAATGTGGTCAAGTCCTCCCTTGGGATCAACAGTCACCGTGGAGACATTACGAGGGTGGATACACTAAACATTGATAGGGAGAAACTCTAATAATAAACTTACAAATTAAAAAAGATCTATGACATTGTTTTCATTTCCTAGACCTAGAATGTATTAGTTAACCTAACCTAGTGTTATTATTTAATAGTCATTTGCACTATATGACTATTTTAATTATTACTATACCTATTACAGTTACAATGATGTAAACATAATGCTAACAAGCATTTATTTATAGTTATGCTGTTATTCAGAAAGTGACATTTCTCCTTGTCTGTCGGTGCAAGCCGTGTCTTCCAATGAGTCTCGGGTACTAGTGTTGGTGGGTACCTAGTGAGTCTCGGGTACTAGTGTTGGTCGGGTACTAGTGAGTCTCGGGTACTAGTGTTGGTGGTGTACTAGTGAGTCTCGGTACTAGTGTTGGTGGTACCTAGTGAGTCTCGGGTACTAGTGTTGGTCGGGTACTAGTGAGTCTGGTACTAGTGTTGGTCGGGTACTAGTGAGTCTCGGGTACTAGTGTTGGTCGGTACTAGTGAGTCTCGGGACTAGTGTTGGTCGAGTTACTAGTGTTGGTCGGTGGTCACCAGCAGAAAACACCCACTATTTGACTGCCGTAAAAAAAAAAAAAAAATGCCGAAATAATAACTAGTAACCTCACAGATACTAGGAAGGCAGACCTACCAACATAATGCAGGGAACACAATTAATGACACATTGTATCAATGAGAAAACTGGCCAATACTGGGAGTGTACATATATTTATAATTGTACCGCTTTACGTAGTTTCACTTCTGTGATTTCTCATTATCTGGCGGTGCCTCACCAGAACGGACTTTCCACTTTACGTGGTTCATCTACCCTATACAGCGTGAAGTATAATTTTTTTTATTTAGCTCATAAAATTCATACAAATTACCCGCCAGAATATAATTTACATTGCTGGAATTCTTACAATTTGATGATCATTTTGAATATAAACATCATAGATTTTGCATTAGACATACAAATTTTAGATGTAATGTTTACTCTGAGTAAATATGTTATCTTTTGTGCAAAATATATGACATTTATATCAAAATGTTCCTGGTCTAACAAGGAATCAGCAATGTCAATTATATTATCTAACTTTAGTCTGAGGTATATTTGTTCTAAAAAGTTAAAATTAGTTTTCACGCAAATTTCTCTGGTAGGGAAGGAAGGTGGGGGTGGGGGGAGGTTGGGACCGACCCGACCATCTGGCATGGTTGGAAGGGGGGGAGGCAAGTTGGGGTACTTTGATTGACAGATAGTGTCGTGAAGAATATTTTTTTTTATTAACTGAAGATATTTGTTTTAGCTCATAAAATTCATACAAATTACTGGACCAGAATATAATTTACATTGCTGGATTCTTACAATATGATGATCATTTTGAATATAAACATCATGGATTTTGCATAAGACATACAAATTTTAGATCTAATGTAATAATTTGGTTACAACAAGTATTTTATCTTTTGTGCAAAATATATTGAAGTTTACATTCAAATTTTCCTACCTGCAAGGAATCAAGAAATGTCAATTATATTATCCTAACTTGTCTGAGGTATTATTTATTACTAAACGTTAAAATCTAGTGTTTCACCCAATCATTTCTCAGAGAGGTAGGGCCAGTGAGCTGGGAAGAGGATTTGAGTCTATTATTTGAATGGACATTAACCTGGCGACTGTATTTCTCTTAAATATTAATTGTGTGAGCATACCATCATAAAATTTAGATGTTATTTTCACTACAACATAGGTATTGTGTCAGAAAAAATTGGAGTTTGAGGGATTCAGACCAGTCTCTGTTGGATAATCATATGTTCTGTTGTTCCATTTACGGCAGTTTCACTTAACGTGGTACCCTGTGGGTTCAATTGACCGCGTAAATTTTCAGGGTACTACTGTATATGTAAAATAAAATATTTTAAGGAAAATCAGAAAGTGAACGGGATAAATTGAAAGGAAAATTTTTTAAACAAATTTTTTAACTATCCGAGTACAGTATTGTTAGTATAGATAAATGTTTAGATTCTTTACTGTGGCCGTTTTGAGAGAATATATGGTTATTAGTTGTGACCTTCTATGGCAAAGTTATTAACTGGAACTATTAGTGAAGAAAGAGTTATGAATCTTTCATCTTGAAACATCAAAGTATTCTAAAAGACTGACAGAAACAACTGACAGTCGTCTTCCTCCCCCCTCCAGTGTATTTCACGTTTTCTTTTTATATATTCATGTGACATTACAATATGTATGGCCCATAAATTGTCACACCATAAGCTCTCCCAAGTATTGAACTAAACAGTCAGTAAATAAATTCTTACAAAACTAATTACTTTCAAACAATGATCAACTGAGAATGAAACAGAGTAAACAATATGGATCAAATGTTGTGAGGCACTTATATGTTCTAAAGTAAGTTATATCTCATTATTTATTATGGTGAGTTTTTGTTGCTAGCAAAGGAAAGCTGAAATTATCACCCATTTTTTATCTCATTAATTAATTTAAGAAAATTGTTTTAAATAATTAAAACGTAAGTTGATTGAAAATACAACGACAAATTTCAAATTATATTTGCCAAAACATGTTTTGTTTTCATATTTTTTTATTTGCTCTTTAGATTCCTTACATGATTTTGTATATAGGGACATTATTGAAGTACCACATGTATAATTATGTGCAGTAGGAAATATTATTAAGGCAAAAAAAAATTGACAAGAGCTACAAGTATTTCACATTAATCTGGCCCATAAGCCACGCCCCTTTTATATACTAATAGCTGATTGGTTCATAGAAAATTCAACCTAAATGTGTTCACCATTGGTAAGCTGATCTGTTATTACTGTTGTCTATAAATAATGTAAAAGAACTGGAGCAGATGATTTCAAGTCATTAACACTTCAGAGAGGATGTTAGAAATATTTAAATATTTATCATAAAAGGTCGATATAAATACTGTACACACTAGTATCAATCAGTCCGGGAGAAGGGGGGGGGGGAAGATGTTCAGGGAACCAATAAGTTATTTGTAGGTATAGATGAGGCGGGGCTTATGGGCCAGGTTAGTGTGGGAAGGGTATAGAGCCGTGAGTGTTAATCACACATCTGGCAGCGTGCGTCGGCACCACCATCTCTCTCACAATTGGTCAATCGAGATTTATATTGTTTCGTGTTCATTATTTTATATTTTACAATAAATTCAATAAAAAAGAATTCATTAGAGAGACAGGACAAAGATCATTAAATAATTAGGTTATATTTATATTCACTTAAGTTTTGTAGGAGAATTAAGGAAGTGAGTAGTATGTATTTAGGAGAGCACCAGGCAGGGCTGAGTAAAATATCTTATTGTATCAATAAAAGTTAATCCCACAAGCTTACCTGTCTGGTCTCAGCATAGTGAGCGACCGTCTGCCACAGACCGGCCCACAAGTCCTCTTCTTTTAACAAGGAATACATCTCTGAGAGTGAATCAAGGATCTCCTGCAAATATCAAGAGAAAAATACTCAACAATAATATTACATTCATATATATATACAGTACAGTGTTTACTAACATTAATGGGGTTAAGTTAGGTTAGGTAGATGTGGTTAGGTTAGGTAAATAAGAAAGAGTGTGGTGCTGTTTTGTGTGTGTGTGTAATAATAATAATAATAATTAACGGTTTATTAAAAGAGCATGGCAACCCAAAAGCTGAAAATATACAGTTACATAATTGGTGAATGGGTCTCTTGATTGACAAATAATATACAAGTAACATAAGTGATACATATATGATACATAATAACTAGGTGGGGAGAAGGTCATACTACAGGGCATTTAACACAGTGACAGTGCAAAATGTATGATTGACTGGGAGTGAATACACTGGTTGATTACAAGTTGTTGATAATTTATGCAATGGTTGGGACTGTGTGTGTGTGTGTGTGTGTGTGTGTGTTAGGCATAATCCTGGGAATAGAAATAAACAGACATAAACCACCACAGCTAACACAACATAAACCACCACAGCAACCAACATAAACCACCACAGCTAACACAACATAAACCACCACAGCTAACACCACAAACCACCACAGCTAACACAACACAAAACCACCACAGCTAACACAACATAAACCACCACAGCTAACACAACATAAACCACCACAGCTAACACAACATAAACCACCACAGCTAACACAACATAAACCACCACAGCTAACACAACATTAAACCACCACAGCTAACACAACATAAACCACCACAGCTAACACAACATAAACCACCACAGCTAACACACCACAAACCACCACAGCTAACACAACACAAACCACCACAGCTAACACAACACAAACCACCACAGCTAACACAACACAAACACCACAGCTAACACCACACAAACCACCACAGTAACACAACACAAACCACCACAGCTAACCACACAAACCACCACAGGTAACACAACACAAACCACCACAGTAACACAACACAAACCACCACAGCTAACACAACGTAACACCACAGCTAACGTAACACCCACGGTAACACAACGTAAACCACAGCTAACACAACAAACCACAGCTAACACAACATAAACCACTACAGCTAACACAACATAAACCACCACAGCTAACACAACATAAACCACCACAGCTAACACAACATAAACCACCACAGCTAACACAACAAACCACCACAGCTAACACAACATAAACCACCACAGCTAACACAACATAAACCACCACAGCTAACACAACATAAACCACCACAGCTAACACAACATAAAACACACAGCTAACACAACATAAACCACCACAGCTAACACAACACAAACCACTACAGCTAACACAACACAAACCACCACAGCTAACACAACATAAACCACCACAGCTAACACAACATAAATACCACAGCTAACAAAAACCACCACAGCTAACACAACATAAACCACCACCATAACACAACATAAACCACCACAGCTAACACAACATAAACACCACAGCTAACACAACATAAACCACCACCTAACACAACTAAACCACCACAGCTACCAACATAACCACCACAGCACACCACAAACCACCACAGCTAACACAACACAAACCACCACAGCCACAACACAAACCACCACAGCTAACACAACAAAACCACCAGGTAACACAACATAAACCACCACAGCTAACACAACGTAAACCACAGGTAACACAACGTAAACCACCACAGGTAACACAACATAAACCAACAGCTAACACAACATAAACCACCACAGTAACCAACATAAACCACCACAGTAACACAACATAAACCACCACAGCTAACACCAACACAGCTAACACAACATAAACCACCACAGCTAACACAACATAAACCACCACAGCTAACACAACATAAACCATCACAGCTAACACAACATAAACCTACAGCTAACACAACACAAACCACACACCATACACACCACAAACCACCACAGCTAACACAACACAAACCACCACAGCTAACACAACACAAACCACCACAGCTAACACAACATAAACCACCACAGTAACACAACAAACACAGCAAACAACATAAACCACCTAACACCAGCACAACATAAACCACAGTAACACAACATAACACACTAACACAACATAAACCACCACAGCTAACACAACATAAACCACCACAGCTAACACAACATAAACCACCACAGCTAACACAACATAAACCACCACAGCTAACACAACATAAACCACCACGCTAACACATAACACACAGCTAACCACACAAACCACCACAACCACCACAGCTAACACACCACAAACCACCACAGCTAACACAACATAAAACCACAGCTAACACAAAAACCACCACAGCTAACACAACATACCACAGCTAACTTAACATAAACCACCACAGCTAACCACTAAACCACCACAGCTAACACAACATAAACCACGCACATAACATAAACCACCCAGCTAACACAACATAAACCACCACAGCTAACACAACATAAACCACCACAGCTAACACAACATAAACCACCACAGCTAACACAACATAAACCACCACAGCTAACACAACATAAACCACCACAGCTAACACAACATAAACCATACCTGTTGTGGGTTGGTCACTGGCTCCATATCATAGGAGTCGTGATGGTCCTTCTTGGCCGCTGGGAGATTATGGCACCCTGTTCTAGTGCTAGTTGCTCTAAAGAGGCGTCATACGGTGCCATAGATTATGGCTCTTGCCGAGGTACTTCATGATGGCCGGCCGGATGGGCGGGTGGTTGGCTGGTGAAGGCGTAGAGCCGATGGGTGACAGTCCTTCTGGATGACGTGTGAACCGGAGCACAAGAATGGAATCACCTCGCTGGCTATACCCTGAAGTTAACATGACAAAGTATTATAAATAACATCTTTAATAATACTGGAGTCACTAAAAAGTTGACATGACAAAGTATTATGAATAACATCTTTAATAGTATTAACTAGTAACACACAGCCATTGAGAACTTTTAAAACATCACCAAAAAGATAAACTTTGTCAAACTTCTCCACAATGATTCACTTACTAACCCTAACCTAACCTAACCCAAAAACACACTTTATATATAATGCCTCCTTCATCCTGGACACACGCACCCTAACCTAACCTAACCCACAAACACACTTTATTATGCGTCCTCATCCTGACAACGCACCCTAACCTAACCTAACCCACAAACACACCTTTATATATAATGCCTCCTTCATCCTGGACACACGCACGCACTAACCTAACCTAACCCACAAACACACTTTATATATAATGCGTCCTTCATCCTGGACACACGCACCCTAACCTAACCTAACCCACAAACACACTTTATATATAATGCCTCCTTCATCCTGGACACACGCATCTCTAACCTAATCCTAACCCAAAAACACACTTTATATATAATGCCTCCTTCATCCTGGACACACGCACTAACCTAACCTAACCTAAACACACTTTATATATAATGCCCTTCATCCTGGACACACGCACCTCTAACCTAACCTAACCCAAAACACACTTTATATATAATGCCTCCTTCATCCTGACACACGCACCCTAACCTAACCTAACCAAAAACACACTTTTTATATATAACCTCCTTCATCCTGGACACACGACCCTAACCTAACCTAACCCACAAACACACTTTATATATAATGCCTCCTTCATCCTGACACACGCACTCTAACCTAACCTAACCCACAAACACACTTTATATATAATGCTTCCTTCATCCTGGACACACGCACCCTAACCTAACCTAACCCAAAACACACTTTATATATAATGCCTTCATCCTGACTAACCTAACCTAACCCACAAACACACTTTATATATAATGCCTCCCATCCTGGACACACGCACTTAACCTAACTGTTAACACTGTACCTGTGTTATAGTGACACATAATGACTTCTCTACCAATGATATAGTGACACATAATGACTGTACCTGTGTTATAGTGACTATAATGACTGTACCTGTGTTATAGTGACACATAATGGCTGTACCTGTGTGCATAAGTGAGCCCACATAATGGCTATTACCCACCAATATTTATAAGTGAGCCACATAAAAGCAAGCTATACCTATTATAAATGAGCCACACCAATGGCCTATTAACACTATACACATGTTATAGTGACACACCAATAGCTGTACCTGTGTTATAGTGACACATAATGACTGTACCTGTGTTTATAGTGACACATAATGACTGTTAACACTGAACCTGTGTTATAGTGACACATAATGACTGTACCTGTGTTATAGTGTCACGTATGACTGTACCTGTGTTATAGTAGCATAATGACCAGCCTGCCATGTTATAGTAACACATAAGCTGTACCTGTGTTACTAGTGACACACTGTGTTATTAACACTGTGCCTGTGTTATAGTGACACACAATGACTGTACCTGTGTTATAGTGACACATAATGACTATTAACACTGTACCTGTCATTATAGTGACACAATGACTGTACCTGTGTTATAGTGACACATAATGATTGTACGCCTGTGTTATAGTGACATATTGTGTACCTGTGTTATAGTGACACATAATGACTGTTAACACTGAACCTGTGTTATAGTGACACATAATAGGCTACACCTGTGTTACTGGTGACACATAATGACTGTACCTGTGTTATAAGTGACACACATAATGACTGTACCTGTGTTATAGTGACACATAATGACTTTGTACCTGTGTTATAGTGACACATAATGACTGTACCTGTGTTATAGTGACACATAATGGCTTCTGCCTGTGTTATAGTGACACATAATGACTGTTAACACTGTACCTGTGTTATAGTGACACATAATGACTGTACCTGTGTTATAGTGACACATTATGACTGTACCTGTGTTATAGTGACACATAATGACTGTACCTGTGTTATAGTGACACATAATGACTTCCTCACCTGTGTTATAGTGACACATTATGACTGTACCTCTGTTATAGTGACACATAATGACTGTAGCCACCTGTGTTATAGTGACCTGTGCAGCTATTAACCTGTACCTGTGTTATAGTGACACATAATAGCTATTTATATGTTATAGTGACACATAATGACTATACCCATGTTATAGTGACACATAATGACTGTTAACCACTGTACCTGTGTTATAGTGACACCTGTGGCTGTACCTGTGTTATAGTGACACATAATGACTGTACCTGTGTTATAGTGACACATAATGACTGTACCTGTGTTATAGTGACACATAATGACTGTACCTGTGTTGTAGTGACACATGCCCAGCTGTACCTGTGTTATAGTGACACATAATGACTGTACCCTGTGTTATGGTGACACATAATGACTGTGCTTGCTATGCCTGTGTTATAGTGACACATAATGACTGTACCTGTGTTATAGTGACACATAATGGCTGTACCTGTGTTATAGTGGCTTTATAATGACTGTACCTGTGTTATGTTTCTTTATAATGACTATTATGCCATACCTGTGTTATAGTGACACATAATGACTGTGCCTGTGTTGGTGACACATAATGACTGTACCTGTGTTATAGTGACACATAATGACTGTACCTGTGTTATAGTGACACTGTGACTGTTAACACTGTACCTGTGTTATAGTGACATAATGACTGTACCTGTGTTGAAGTGACACATAATGACTGTACCTGTGTTATAGTGACACATAATGGCTATACCTGTGTTATAGTGACATAATGGCTATACCTGTGTTATGGTGACACATAATGATATTAACACTGTACCTGTGTTATAGTGACACATAATGACTGTACTGTTATAGTGACACATAATGACTGTACCTGTGTTATAGTGACACATAGCCCAACATACCTGTGTGTTATAGTGACACATAATGACTGTTAACACTGTACCTGTGTTATAGTGACACATAATGACTGTACCTGTGTTAGTGACACATAATGGCTATACCTGTGTTATAGTGACACATAATGACTGTACCTGTGTATAGTGACACATAATGGCTATTAACACTGTACCTGTGTTATAGTGACACATAATGACTGTACCTGTGTTAGTGACACATAATGGCTATGCCTGTGTTATAGTGACTTTTATAATGGCTATGCCTGTGTTATAGTGACACATAATGGCTGTACCTGTGTTATAGTGACACATAATGACTTTTAACACTGTACACTGTGTTATAGTGACACATAATGGCTGTACCTGTGTATAGTGACACATAATGACTGTACCTGTGTTATAGTGACACACTGTGGCTGTACCTGTGTTATAGTGACACATAATGGCTGTACCTGTGTTATAGTGACACATAATGACTGTGCTTACTGTACACCAATGTTATAGTGTCACATTATATTCTCCTGTGTTATAGTGACACATAATGACTGTACCTGTGTTAGTGACACATAATAGCTATTACCCCTGTGTTATAGTGACACATAATGACTGTTAACTGTACCTGTGTTATAGTGACACATAATGGCTGTACCTGTGTTAGTGACACATAATGACTGTTAACACTGTACCCGTATTATAGTGACACATAATGACTGTACCTGTGTTATAGTGACACATAATGACTGTTAACACTGTACCTGTATTATAGTGACACATAATGACTGTACCTGTGTTATAGTGACACATAATGGCTGTACCTGTGTTATAGTGACACATAATGACTGTACCTGTGTTATAGTGACACCAATGACTGTACCTGTGTTATGACACATAATAGCTGTACCTGTGTTATAAGTGACACACATAATGACTGTTAACACTATACCTGTATTTATAGTGACCCACATAATAGCTATACCCCATAATGATTTATAAGTGACACATAATGACTGTTAACACTGTACCTGTGTTATAGTGACACATAATGACTATTAACACATTACCTGTGTTATAGTGACACATAATGACTGTTAACACTTGTACCTTTACTGTGTTATAGTGACACACATAATGACTGTTAACACTGTACCTGTGTTATGGTGACACATGTTGTACCTGTGTTATAGTGACACATAATGACTGTACCTGTGTTATAGTGACACATAATGGCTGTACCTGTGTTATATAGTGACACATAATGACTAATGCTTACCTGTGTTATAGTGACACATAATGACTGTACCTGTGTTATAGTACATTATGACTGTACCTCTGTTATAGTGACACCTGTGTGTGTACCTGTGTTATAGTGACACATAATGACTGTTAACACTGTACCTGTGTTATAATGACACACCAGCCAGCTGTACCTGTGTTATAGTGACACATATGTGAGCCTTACCTGTGTTATAGTGACACACGCATAATGACTGTTAACACTGCCTGTGTTATAGTGACACATAATGGCTATACCTGTGTTATAAGTGACACATAATGACTGTACCTGTGTTATAGTGACACTGTGGCTGTACCACCTGTGTTATAGTGACTATAATGACTGTTACCTGTGTTATAGTGACACATTATATTTCTGTACCTGTGTTACTTAGTGACACATAATGACTGTACCTGTGTTATGATGACACATAATGACTGTTAACACTGTACCGCAATAGTATAGTGACACATAATGACTGTACCTGTGTTATGTGACACATAATGACTGTACCTGTGTTATAGTGACACATAATGGCTGTACCTGTGTTATAGTGACACATAATGACTGTTAACACTGTACCTGTGTTATAATGCGACACATAATAGCTGTACCTGTGTTAGTGACACATAAGCGGCTATACCTGTGTTATAGTGACACATAATGGCTATACCTGTGTTATAGTGACACATAATGACTGTTAACACTGTGCCTGTGTTATAGTGACACATAATGAGCTGTACCTGTGTTAGTGACACATAATGGCTGTACCTGTGTTATAGTGACACCTGTGGCTGTACCTGTGTTATAGTGACACATAATGACTGTACCTGTGTTATAGTGACACATAATGACTGTTAACACTGTACCTGTGTTATAGTGACACATAATGACTATTACCTGTGTTATAGTGACACATAATGACTGTACCTGTTATAGTGACACATAATGACTGTACCTGTGTTATAGTGACACATAATGACTATTAACCTGTACCTGTGTTATAGTGACACATAATGACTGTACCTGTGTGTGACACATAATGACTGTACCTGTGTTATAGTGACACATAATGGCTGTACCTGTGTTATAGTGACACATAATGACTGTTAACACTGCTTGCCTGTGTTATAGTGACACATAATGACTGTACCTGTGTTAGTGACACATAATGGCTTCATACCTGTGTTATAGTGACACATAATGACTGTACCTGTATTTATAGTGACACATAATGACTGTACCTGCATGGTATAGTGACACATAATGACTGTTAACACTGTACCTGTGTTATAGTGACACATAATGACTGTACCTGTGTTATAGTGACACATAATGACTGTACCTGTGGCATAGTGACACATAATGACTGTACCTGTGTTATAGTGACACATAATGACTGTACCTGTGTTATAGTGACACATAATGACTGTTAACACTGTACCTGTGTTATAGTGTCACGTATGACTATACCTGTGTTATAAAGTGACACATAATGACTGTACCTGTGTTATAGTGACACACTGTGGCTATTACCTGTGTTATAGTGACACACATGTGACTGTGGCATATACCTGTGTTATAGTGACACATAATGACTGTACCTGTGTTATAGTGACCTGTGACTGTTAACACTGTACCTGTGTTATAGTGACACATAATGACTGTTAACACCGTACCTGTGTTATAGTGACACATAATGACTGTTAACACTTGTACCTGTGTTATAAGTGACACATAATGACTGTTAACACTGTACCTGTGTTATAGTGACACATAATGGCTGTACCTTGTGTTATAGTGACACATAATGACTGTTTCCTGTGTGTTATAGTGACACATAATGACTGTTAACACTGTACCTGTGTTATAGTGACACATAATGACTGTACCTGTGGTATAGTGACACATAATGACTGTTGCACTGTACTGTGTTATAGTGACACATAATGACTGTACCTGTGTTATAGTGACACATAATGACTGTACCTGTGTTAGTGACACATATGACTGTACCTGTATAGTGACACATAATGGCTATACCTGTGTTATAGTGACACATAATGACTATTAACACTATACCTGTGTTATAGTGACACATAATGAGCTGTACCTGTGTTATAGTGACACATATTGACTGTTAACACTGTACACCTGTGTTATAGTGACACATAATGACTGTTAACACCGTACCTGTGTTACTCAAGTGGCCTCAATGACTGTTAACAGCCTGTGTTATAGTGACACATAATGACTATTAACACTGTACCTGTGTTATAGTGACACATAATGACTGTACCTGTGTTATAGTGACACATAATGGCTGTACCTGTGTTATAGTGACACATAATAAGCTGTACCTGTGTTATAGTGACACATAATGACTGTTAACACTGTACCTGTTATAGTGACACATAATGACTGTTAACACTGTACCTGTGTTATAGTGACACATAATGACTGTACCTGTGTTATAGTGACACATAATGACTGTACCTGTGTTATAGTGACATAATGACTGTGTACCTGTGTTATAGTGACACATAATGATGACTGTTAACACTGTACCTGTGTTATAAGTGACCTTCTGTGACTGTTAACACTATACCTGTGTTATAGTGACACATAATGACTGTACCTGTGTTATAGTGACACATAATATTTGTACCTGTATTTATAGTGACACATAATGACTGGTAACACTGTACCTGTGTTATAGTGACACATAATGACTGTACCTGTGTTATAGTGTCACATAATGACTGTTAACACTATACACATGTATAGTGACACATAATGGCTATACCTGTGTTATAGTGACACATAATGACTATTAACACTGTACCTGTGTTATAGTGACACATAATGACTGTTAACACCTATACCTGTGTTATAGTATTTACACATGGCTGTACCTGTGTTATAGTGACACACCAATGACTGTTAACACTGTGCCTGTGTTATAGTGACACATAATGACTGCACCTGTGTTATAGTGTCACATAATGACTGTTAACACACTGTACCTGTGTTATAGGCACATAATGACTGTTAACACTGTACCTGTGTTATAGTGACACATAATGACTGTACCTGTGTTATAGTGACACATAATGACTGTTAACACTGTACCTGTGTTATAGTGACACATAATAGCTGTACCTGTGTTATAGTGTCACACTGTGACTGTTAACACTATACCTGTGTTATAGTGACACATAATGACTATTGTACTGTGTTATAGTGTCACATAATGACTGTTAACACTATACCTGTGTTATAGTGACACATAATGACTGTACCTGTGTTATAGTGACACATAATGACTGTTAACACTGTACCTGTTGCTGCTTCTCACTGAGTATTTTCCAGAGTCTGGGGAAGAGGTGGAGCCAGACCCACTCAGCCAAACTGGTGTCCATGTGACATAGTTCAGACACCGCTGACAACAACTGTGAGTTGCACACTTCCTTCACACTCTCCATGAACTTGGCCTAAAATGACAAATAATATCATTAATGGCAACATAACCTACTATTGTTGTGTGTTTCATCATATCACAACATCATCACATCATTATCATTACAACATCATTACATCCCATCATCACAACATCACATCATAACATCATCCCATCATCATCCCATCATCATCACAACATCACATCATCCCATCATCATCCCATCATCATCCCATCATCACAAACATCCCATCATCATCCCATCATCATCCCATCATCATCACAACATCCCATCATCATCCCATCATCATCCCATCATCACAACATCTTCACATCATCACATGTTAATTATTACAACTTGCGTCTTTTATTCACTAACAATAAACTTTCAATCCTCAGACAAGATTTTCTTTGACTAGTTTACATGACTTGACCAAATGTGTTATTGGTAATATTGTGATATATATATATATATATATATATATATATATATATATATATATATATATATATATATATATATATATATATATATATATATATATATATTTCATGTAGATCCACAATGAAAAGTGGATAAGATAAATCTTGATAAAATCACACGGAAAAGGGAAACAACGGAGCACCTTAGCTTTCGTCTTTATTCAAGACATCTTCAGAGGCAACTGGATTACATGGACAGAGAGAGGCTTAAATATACAGGGTGACCTTAAAACATGAGGTCAGGTCATAATGATGTCATCCACTAATCCCCAGACCAACACACACGAGAGGAGCTTAAGAGAAGGGTGGTGGCGGACTAGACAGGTCAGGTCAAAAATAAGGGACCCACTAAATAACTATCATACATCTAGATCAAAGGTTTTCAAAGCATTTTTAACCTTGGGGCCACTGACAAATAAATTTATGTAACATATTATCAGTTTTGAACTGACCATCACTAAGGTTTATTGATTTTAATTCCTTAATCAAACTAGCTTCAACCAGAAGTCTTTCTGTGACACAAGATGATTTAAATACTTCTAAGCTTTTTCCCAAGCAATGGGATGATTATTATTCATAACATGAACAAACAAGGCACTGCTTTCAGATGCTGTTCTGATATTATACTTATGTTGTTTGATTCTGAGCTGCAGTGTTTTTCTGTCTGTCCTACATAATTACAATTACATTTGCTACATGGAATACAATAAACACTTCCATTTACATTCAAACTTAGGCTATTTCTTATTAACATATTGGTAATGGTTGAGTCATACTTGAAAACAACATTAATATTTAGGCGCGAGGGACCGAACTAACGGGACAAATTCATTACGATGGGCAGAGTCAAAATATTCTTAAGTGTAGGAATTTGCCTGGTTTGAGAGGAATGAAAAGATTTTTTAGCCCTTTTAAAACAACGATCAACAAACACAGAAGAGTACCGAGTTTCTGTGCAATGGAAAGAATGTGTTTCAATTCATAGTCAATAAATTCAAAGTCACAAATCGCAGACATCTTAAGAACATAGGAAAAAATGACATTTCGTAGACTCCAGGTGATTCGATAGAAAGTGAATGAAACTGTCTACCTGTGTGGGCTTTCTGTATACCTTAAATTTGTAGTTTTGGCCATTTCTCATGATAAGCATATCAAGGAATGGAAAGGATCCATTGTTTCTCTTTCAATTTTGAATGTGATACTTGGGACAATATCATTAAGCTTGTCTGGTTATTGGCGATGAATTGAAACACATTAGTTTCCATTTGAAGTGACAGAATCAAGCTATTTACAATGAGAATTTGTTAGACACCTATATATATATATATATATATATATATATATATATATATATATATATATATATATATAGTTCTGCTACTCTTGATAATTGTGTTCTTGTAAATATATCGTGTTATAGAAAATGCGTAATAGAAATAAAAGGGCTTATGGAGAAAATAGGGTTAGGTGCAGATTACTCGAAAATCGAAAAAATTTAGTAGTTAGCTAACACAAAGGATAGCACAGTCTAAATAAATGTTACATTCATATCTAATAATAAATCATACAGTAAATGTAACACTTTACTTGATGGGGAAGGGGTGATTTTGAGGTTGATAAATCGACTTCTCTTCAAGTGTTATATCCTTTCTTTTCACGATCATCACGGAATTCTATCACCAAACGCTTCTTGTTGATATTCTTCTTTACTATATTCACATTATTTAATTTTTTTTTTTAATTTATTGTTTTTATTACAAATATTAATGATATTCTTTATTTCAGGGTTTAGATGCATATTTATGCACTTTTTACAATTTTACAATTTATATTATATTTTCAGTGTTAAGTGGTTGTATTTGGGGCCTGGGCGGATTAATCCTATAACGAATGAATGCTATAACGAACAAGGTTCTAGAACCAATTAGATTAGTTATAGCATACTTACTATACCACAAAATTGGAGAAATAGTAAGCAAAAATCAGCGTTATAGCAAACAAGCGTTCGCGTTAAACAAATATTGTTCCTAATTCATAAATCGCGTTAGAGCAAATTAGGTTATCAAAACCGTTATAGCAGAACTCACTGTAATATATATATATATATATATATATATATATATATATATATATATATATATATATATATATATATATATATATATATATATATATATATATATATACACACACACAGTAAAAGTCCAAAAATCCGGATGCCAAAATCCGACCACCGAAATCCGACTTTTGGAAAACTATTTTTTTTTTTAGCGGGCTTTTGTGTGTATGTGTGCATGCGTGGCGCCACAGCTGCACAAGAGCAACAAACACCACGTGGTCTCCACTTTAAAAGCAATATCAAACTGTGACAACATCGTATATACTCACTATAACCCCCCTCATTTATCTGTCGACCCTGATTTTGACCAAGAAATCGTTAATTTATGATATTCCTCGTTTATAGTTCGACGTTTCTGAGGGTAGCGAACAACAAACCTCAATGCAGCTCTCTGCTGAAACAGAGTGCGAAGGCAAATTGTTTACCATTTATTATTCGACACTTTACACTGGCGTGATTTCAACAAAAATATTATATTTCCATTCAAGTATTTATTCAAGTCAATTAGGAGGGAATATTATTGTAATACAACAGTTTTTAATTAAACCATTCGAAAAGTGATTACGGTAACATCTTTTGAGCAATCATTGTTTTAATCCGCGATTTGATCCCACTTTCCACTGTATCGTCGTCATTTCAGCAAATATTACATTTCCGTGAATGTATTATATCAAGCACAGTATGAATAGAATATCATTGTAATATAACAAATTTTAACGAAAACTATTAAAAAAAGCGAGTAACATCTCAAGAACATCGGAAGCTTAGGTAAAGTCTTTTGTTTTTGACATGTATTTTATCTATTTTACATTGAAATACATCACATTTCAGCAAAACTACTATTTATTTCGAGAATATATTCATTCAGGAGCAGTTTAGGTAAAATATCGTGTGATGTAATAGTTTTTTAACTGAAAACGATTCGAAAAAACGTGCCCTCTAGCCCTGTTCAGAGGACTGGGAGAAGCTGTTTGGTGCTGCAGGCGATGACAAGGAAAATGATTTTGATGGATTTCAATGAAAATATTCAGAAATATGGTATCGTAGTATTTATTCAAGTCAATTAGGATAGAATATTATTGTAATTCAGTACAACAGTTTTTAACTAAACCATTCGAAAAGTGATTACGGTAACATCTTTTGAGCAGCGAAAGTCATTGTTGCAAATCGGTTGATCCCACTTTCCACTGTATCGTCGTCATTTGTAAAAATATTACATTTCCGTGAATGCATTATATCAAGCACAGTATGAATAGAACAATATTTTGAGTCTTACTTCTTTCCATTTACAGATTACTGTACCCATAATAATGGCTCCTAAAGTAGATAAACTGTTGAAGAAAAGAAGAAAACGTTGAAATTGAGTGACAAACTTGAAATAATTAAGAAACTAGAACGTGGTGTGAGCAATACTGTTCTAATGGAAACATCACGACATTGGAAAGTCTACAATTTATGATATCAAAAGGCAAAGAATAAAATTCTAGAATTCACAGCTTTTTCATTAAAACTGCTCGTTTTGATAAATGAAGCATGCTATATTTGCTAATGAATAAACTATCAAAATGTACCTGTTCATCTCTTCTTTATTCCTCCTTAAATTTGAATTTTAAAAGTACTGCCTGAGAATCCGGAAAATCCGAAAATCCGGACCGACCCAATCCCCAAGCAGTCCGGATTTTTGGACTTTTACTGTATATATATAATGTGCTGATAACCACAAGGAAAAAAGAAAACACGAAGTTCCCAGCTTTTAGTGTAATTCACATCTTCAGGGGTGAGTACAGACTAAGAAGAAGTACAGAACATGTTATATATATACAGAGGAGGGTGAGATCAACTCCACAGTGGTCAGGTATAGGTAATGACCCTACTAATCTTCACAAAAGCACCACAGCGGTAGGTAGTCAGGTCAGAGGTGGCTGCCCTCACCTTCTCCTGGTTACAAATCTTCTTAATTACAAAATTATCCGATTGTACATACCATTGCTTAAATTCATGTTGACTGCTGCTTGTTTAATGAGACTAGATTCTATAATGTTCCTACTGTCAATTGAATTACAAGGTAATATTGAGGAGGCATTATCCCAGTCAATGTAATGTTTATTATCCCTCAAATGAACAAACAGAGCATTGGATTCCTGGCCTGTCCTAACACTATATTTATGTTGTTTAAGTCTAGTTACAAGATCTTTACCTGTCTGGCCTAAGTAAAACATATTACATTCCTTGCAAGGAACTTTATAAATGCAGCCACTTGTATTGTTGGGGGAGTTCTTGATTAACATTTGTTTAACAATCCTCCTAACGTGTTCTGAAGATGTCTGACCGCCCCTCTGATGATTTCCAAGAAATAATCCTAAAGAAACATTTTGAAATAAAAGAAATTGAAGTGGATGAAGCTTTTTGTATTGTAAGACAAAAAAAGCATG